AGGATGATTGCCGGGATTGTATAGGTTATTGAGGATGATTGCCGGGATTAAACGGTTATCAAGAATGATTGCGGGGATTGTAAAGGTTATCAAGGATAATTGCCAGGATTGTAAAGGTTATCAATGATGATTGTTGGGGTTATCGAGAATGATTGCTGGGGTTGTAAGGGTTATCAAGAAAACTGATGGGATTGTAAGGGTTATCGAGGATGATTGATGGAATTGTAAGGGTTATCGAGAATAATTGCTGCGACTGTAAGGGTTATCGAGAATGATTGCGGGATTGTAAGGCTTATAGAGAATGATTGTGGATTGTAAGGTTTATCGAGAATAATTGCTGGGATTGTGAGGGTTATCGAGAATGATTGCCGGGGGTTTTGACACTGGCATCGAGAACCAACCGTCAGGGGGCAATGACAAACTACTGAATGTAAAATTTGCATAGAAATATCACGACAGCCAAAAAATGTGGGGGTTAGCTCGGTGACAAACTTTCAGAATATTGCAGCCCTGTAGAGCATATGACACAAACATTCAAACAACACGTCCATGAAAAGAGCCTGGAGAGAGCCACCAGCGAAATCAAACTTTACCTTGGTTCTGTTTTGGTCACCTCCCCCCCTTTTCTGAGCTGCTACCTGATAGTCTGATTCCCCCCCCCCCCCTTCCAATTACAAAATCTCATCTGGATGGCAGACTTGCAGGGCTAACCCAGATCAACCTCCAAAGAATGTATAATTTGGGCACTCATAATGGCTGCACCAGTCTGAAGTAACCTGCAGTCCTGAGCCAGTAAGGAGTTGGTGTATATGTGTTGGGTTAGGGTGTGGTGTGTATATGTGTTAGGTGAGGGTGTGGTGTGTAAAAGTGTTGGGTGAGGGTGTGGTGTGTAAAAGTGTTGGGTGAGGGTGTGGTGTGTATATGTGTGGCTAAGGGTGTGGTGTGTATATGTGTTGGGTGAGGGTGTGTATATGTGGTGGGTGAGGGTGTGGTGTGTATATGTGTTGGGTGAGGGTGTGGTGTGTATATGTGGTGGGTGAGGGTGTGTATATGTGTTGGGTGAGGGTGTGGTGTGTATATGTGTTGGGTGAGGGTGTGGTGTGTATGTGTTGGGTGAGGGTGTGGTGTGTATGTGTTGGGTGAGGGTGTGGTGTGTATATGTGTGGCTAAGGGTGTGGTGTGTATATGTGTTGGGTGAGGGTGTGGTGTGTATATGTGTTGGGTGAGGGTGTGGAGTGTATATGTGTTGGGTGTAGTGTGTATATGTGTTGGGTGAGGGTGTGGTGTGTATTTGTGTTGGGCGAGGGGTTGGTGTGTATATGTGTGGCTGAGGGTGTGGTGTGTATGTGTTGGGTGAGGGTGTGGTGTGTATATGTGTTGGGTGAGGGTGTGTATATGTGTTGGGTGAGGGTGTGTATATGTGTTGGGTGAGGGTGTGGTGTGTATATGTGTTGGGTGAGGATGTGGTGTGTATATGTGTGGCTAAGGGTGTGGTGTGTATGTGTTGGGTGAGGGTGTGGTGTGTATATGTGTTGGGTGAGGGTGTGTATATGTGTTGGGCGAGGGGGTGGTGTGTATATGTGTTGGGCGAGGGGGTGGTGTGTATATGTGTTGGGCGAGGGGGTGGTGTGTATATGTGTTGGGCGAGGGGGTGGTGTGTATATGTGTTGGGTGAGGGTGTGTATATGTGTTGGGTGAGGGTGTGGTGTGTATATATGTTGGGTGAGGGGGTGGTGTGTATATGTGTTGGGTGAGGGTGTGTATATGTGTTGGGTGAGGGTGTGTATATGTGTTGGGTGAGGGGGTGGTGTGTATATGTGTTGGGTGAGGGGGTGGTGTGTATATGTGTTGGGTGAGGGTGTGTATATGTGTTGGGCGAGGGGGTGGTGTGTATATGTGTTGGGTGAGGGTGTGTATATGTGTTGGGTGAGGGTGTGGTGTGTATATATGTTGGGTGAGGGTGTGGTGTGTATATGTGTTGAGTAAGGGTGTGTTGTGTGTATGTGTTGGGTGTGGTGTGTATATGTATTGGGTGTGGTGTGTATATGTGTTGGGTGAGGGTGTGGTGTGTATATGTGTTGGGTGAGGGTGTCGTGTGTATATGTGTTGGGTGGGGGTGTGATGTGTATATGTGTTAGGTGAGGGTGTGGTGTGTAAAAGTGTTGGGTGAGGGTGTGGTGTGTATATGTGTTGGGTGTGGTGTGTATATGTGTTGGGTGTGGTGTGTATATGTGTTGGGTGAGGTGTGTATATGTGTTGGGTGTGGTGTGTATATGTGTTGGGTGAGGATGTGGTGTGTATATGTGTTGGGTGAGGGTGTGATGTGTATATGTGTTGGGTGAGGGTGTGGTGTGTATATGTGTTGGGTGAGGGTGTGGTGTGTATATGTGTTGGGTGTGGTGTGTATATGTGTTGGGTGAGGATGTGGTGTGTATATGTGTTGGGTGAGGGTGTGATGTGTATATGTGTTGGGTGTGGTGTGTATATGTGTTGGGTGAGGGTGTCGTGTGTATATGTGTTGGGTTAGGGTGTGATGTGTATATGTGTTGGGTGAGGGTGTGGTGTGTAGTGTAGGCTGTTGGTCAACATCTTCCCAGGATAAGTAAACTAATTTCCCTGGACATTTGTGCTTACACTGTGTGTATCTACACTGACTGTACATTATAAATACTACATGCATAGTGCAAAGATATATTTTACATGAATAACTTATTTTGTGTTGATGGTAAAATGCAGGAGTGATAACTCTACAGCTTTCTGTAATGTTTCTGACTTGTCTGTGTTTGTTTATTCATTAGTTATTATCTTTTCATACACTTCAAATTCCCCCATTATTTCATTCATTATATTCTGTCTCTCTCTCTCTCTCTCTCTCTGCAGCTCATTTTATTCTCTCTTCTATCTCTTTCTCTCTGTTAAATTATCATTCCTTTATAGTATTCCTTCTTTCCATTATGTCCCTCTCTTTGTATCACATGTTAATCTCTCTTTGTATTGCATTGTTTATCTCTAATCTCTATTGTTTATTCTCTCTCTCTCCCCTCCTTCATCTTATTGTTATTCTGTCTGTCTTTCTACATCTGAGGGTGCGAACATGCAATTTCCCAAGAGGTTCTATTCTTTGGTTTATTTCTTCTTAATTTTAACTTCAACTGTTTACAGTTTTTGTTCAGTTCATCTTCACACAGACATGTTACTTGCAAGTGATTGTGCGTAAATGTGTATGTGAGTGTGGTGTGCTTTTTCCTGTCTGTCTCTCACAGTACTGCTGAACCCTTTCGGTACAATGTATCTCATTACCCGTTCGAATGTCAGTCCCACAAAAGTACACACTTCTGACTCTTTTCCTTCGCAGACAGTTGTTACATGACTCAATACATCAAACTTGTTACTATCACTCCTGCTTAAAGTGTTATTGTTTTAACTTCTTTGATTTAAACACTTTGGGAGAGAACTAAGCAAGCTCCAGTGGACCAAGAGGTGAAGAAAAGACACTGGCCTTGGATAGGACACACACTGAGAAAACTGGAGAACAACATAACTAGAATGTCTTTACAATGGAACCCACAGGCCAAAAAACACATGGAGAAGGGAGCTGGAGAATGAAGTTAGAAAGATGGAGAGGTCATGGAGAAAGCTGCATGTGAAAAGGATAGAACGAATTGGTATGAGTTGCTTGAAGGCCTATGCTCCATTAGGGGCTAAAAAAGCAGAAGAAAGAAGAAGATTAAAACACCTGCGCATTAAGTGTAATACACTGTAAATGATAACACAGTAAACGAGGAAAAAGTTGAAAACAATCAGTGTAATTCTCAGCCACACCATCACTTTACACATTGACTTCTCAGGATTGATGGCGTTAAAAGTATTCACAGGCTGGTACTAAAAGAAAAAGTATTCACAGGCTGGTACTAAAAGAAAAAGTATTCACAGGCTGGTACTAAAAGAAAAAGTATTCACAGGCTGGTAAAGAGTCAAGTTTGTGTTTGAAAAAAAAAAAATTTTAAATCACCAAAGTAGCAGATGAGGGGGAAATCATGTCCTACTAGACAGATGCCTGATGTCACTAACATGTCTAAATTTAGTGCTTTGATGTGATATTTTTCTCAATGTACTTTTAAACTTTACATTTAACAAATGTAGTTCATGAACAATCAATAAGATTAAAAAAATTCAATTAGGATTTACATTGGTTATTTTCTGTACCACTGAGAGCAACCAATAAGAGTTCTTTAGACAGATATATTTTTAAAAAATTAAAAAAGGTAAATATACCCTTTTCTACGCCTTAAGGCATATAGGGCTAGACTTATATTTTATAGATCAATCGGCATAAGAGGGGTGATGTGGTCAGCATCATGCCGCCGGCCTTTACTTTTCGGAACCCACTCAAGGCTGGGTCGGCCTCGGAGTCAAGGTCATTTTTGAAAAAAAGTCTGTCTCCTTTAGAGAGATAAACAGAGAACAACATCCTGATGTAAATCAGCATTTTGCTAATCACATTACTCATCTAATTCACATCTGTACTAAACAAGATCAGGGTCTAGCACTTTACGCCCAATGCAACAGTGACAAGAAAAGAGCCCTGTATCATTCTCTTCTTCTTCTTAACATTCATCACAAGGTTCTGGTTTTTTTATCCACTTCTGAGCTTTGGTCTTCTTCCGGAATTTTGATTTTTGCGTGCTTATCCACTGTACAGATCTGGCTTACTTGTATGCAGACTATTGGTTCCTCAGTTCTCAGAAGATACACTTTGACAGAGGAAACACTCCTATTTAGTCACTTTTTATGAAACTGCTTTTATGATGGCAGTGGTTCTATTCTCTACCCCCCCCCCCCACCCTATCCCCCCTTCCCCCAATGAGGCCCTGGAACCACACATTGGCAACATTTCCTTTTCAAATGCTGCATTTAATATAGATAAAATAGCATAATGAAAGTAACACAGAAATAACTAACGCACACAAATGACATCGACTGCAAGGACCAGGTCTCTGTTATTTTATGTGCAGCTTCTTCTCAGTTCCTGGTTTTGCCTGTGCCTTCTTCTTCATCATCTGTATCCTCTTATTGGCCGTCACCAACGACAAATTTGCCACTGCTTGCTTGTTGCTTGTACTGCTGCTAGATTTAGATGGTGAAGGGCAGTCTGGTGAAGTTGGTGTCGTTGGTGTGCTAACATGGGGTGGGGAACTCTTCGGAGGACTGACATCTGGCTTATTCTGCTCATAATTTGCTGGAGATTTCCCAGATTCTAATGTTTTTTCAGATTTTGGAAGACTTTCTGGCTTCCTCTCCTCTTTCTCTGTTGTTGGCGATGACTTCAAAGCTGTATCATTACTTTTCTTGTCATCAGCTTTGCCACTCTGTTTCTTTTCTTCCACTTTCGGCTTTGACGGAATGTCAGATTTATTACTGCTGCTGCTGCCAGACTTTGAAGAACTATCAGATTTATAACCACCACTGCCACTGCATGACTTGGCCTCAGGTTTAGATGAAGCTTTCACCGCATCTCCTTTCTGATCTGTCTTGCGGGAGGTGGTACCAATCTTTGATTCTCCTTTTGATTTATGTAAATTAGCTGCCAACCCTGCCAGTCCCACCATTGGCTTGACGGCTGCGCTAGTGAGGGTTGCTGCGTCAGTTGGCGTCACTATGCTCTGTTTCAAGAAGAAAAAACATGTATTAATCTATCAAACATTCAGAAAGTTACAAAGTTAAAGTCAAGAGGTTCATCTCCATGTACTGGGTTTTATCTCATATGGGTCAGTGTCTCTATGTACTACTTGAGACAATATCCAGGGATTTCCCTAACAGTGAATAGTTTGACTGCTTCCTGAGATAGTGGCCCAAAATTCAATCCCCCAAAAGTGGCAGGACTTGTCAATTTAGCCTCAAAAATGGGTATAAGTTAATCCTTTCAGTCTGAGAATTAAAAAAAGGGGGAGGGTGGGCATCGCGTGAACCCATCAGGATTCCTGAAAAACACTTATAAAAAATTACCATTGTTATAGAGTTCACTGATAAGAGATTTTAAAATTAATTTATTCAAAATTAAAAATATTTTTCAAATATCTAAAGACACAAAAAAGGGAGTGATTATCTAACATGAACAGAGAGTAGCAATAAATTGCATATATTCCCCAGTGTCTCATTAAGTGTCTCTATTTCTAAGAAATAGGTACCAGGTGACGCATGCTGTGACCTCTAGCATTGAAGCTATGAGAAAATTGGACATCAACATGGCTTGAAAAAAGAGAAATGCTTCACAAGGCACACCCCAAACACATATTATTTTTAGTAAATATATTCATATCCAGGTCTCCTAAATGTTGCATGGGTGTAAAGAGCTAACAGAATCAATGAACATTAAACTAAGCTCCTCAGAAACAGTTCAATGCAGATATGCCGGTTTTGGAGCCTTTATGGGAATATGGCAACGATGGAAATTCATGGCTCATAGAATCCCGAGGTGACAAAGTTCATGTCCAGAATTTTCCTGCAAGGAAATACAGCAAGGAACGGAACTTAATCTAATATGTCATGGTCTAAAACGTACGAAGGCTGTACTTTACGCCCCAATGGCACAATATCTGCTACAGGACTTCTTCTTCTTCTTTGCGTTCACCAGCTGTAAACTCTGGTGGAAAGTTCTGGTTGTTCATCCCCTTCTGGACTGCAGTCCTGTTCCAGAACTTGAGTGTTGCGTGTGCATCTGTTTGACAGATCTGACACATTTGTGTGCAGACTGTTGGTCCCTTGCCTCTCGGCTGTCACTCTGAGAAGACTGAATCTAGTCACTTCAGGTTTTGACAGTTTTGTAAATGCTCATTCATGGACATGTCTGCAGTTTTGTGCTCCCATGTGCACCTGTGCAGTGCTATAAACATAGCAACTAAAAAACAACATTTGGGGGAGGGGTTCTTATGACCCCAGTGGCTATTTGAAAGCCAAGTTGATATCAAATTCTCCCATAAGCCTCAGTGACAGAAGTCATGGCATGCGCCACTCGATACATACTGCTTTTCAGACTGAGGAATGTTTCCATTTAACACTTGACTCTGTTTGTGTTTACTGATTACTCCTTCATATATCTGTATTTATTAGTGACCTGCATGAAAGTGAAATAGTTGGTTGTTGTTTTTTTTTTAAAACAGATTTTAGAGATTTTATTCTGGTAATTCCCATGGAATAATGACACATTGGGGACAGGGTGGGGGATTCATAGGGTGATAGGATTAAGGTGCTGGTCAACTGAGTATAAAAATGAACAAACCTTTTTTTCAGAGGGTCACAAATTGGCCCAAAGGCCCATCTTATTTACTGCCCATCCAAACACTCATATTTCAGACTGTATGTTATCTATAAAGCATGTTATGTTCATAGTCACAGACGTAATATAAATACCAAGTAAAAACACAAAAGCATCGATGGCAAATGCACACTCGGCAGAGACATACAAGCATGCAGAAAATGTTTTCAAGGTGGGACATGGCTGACAATTCACTAACTGAAAGCAACACAAGATAGGGTATGGACAGTCAATCACTAACTGAAAGCAACACAAGATAGGGTATGGACAGTCAATCACTAACTGAAAGCAACACAAGATAGGGTATGGACAGTCAATCACTAACTGAAAGCAACACAAGATAGGGTATGGACAGTCAATCACTACCTGAAAGCAACACAAAATAGGGTATGGACAGTCAATCACTAACTGAAAGCAACACAAGGTAGTGTATGGACAGTCATTCAATTACTGAATGGAACATCATGTCTTCTACTAATGTTCTTTCATTATCATGTTGATAATGAAACTGACCAGAAAACAAAAGCTTGGCACCACTTAAGATTTACTTTTTCTGACCAGGTAACAATATACAACACTGATATTATTCCCATGAAAACTCTCTAAAAGAATTGTTTTAATAACACTAGAAAACAGTGCAGTGAACACATACTTTTGGATCAATTCTCCTGAAAGCCTGGCTGACATTTTTAGAGTTTGTATCCAACTTAGTAGACTTGATTGGGGCAGCAGACGGCTCTTTGACTGAACTGATTGTTGGTGTGGGTGGTTTGGGCTTTGCTGGTTTCTGGGTCACCTGCGACAGAAAATATATGGGGGAAAAATAACAAATAATGCATGCACACATCTGTTAGAGATTTGGTTACTGACAGTTTATCTGAGACAATTTAAACTATTTTCAAATGCTAACAAACCAAGGTGGCTATACTAATCATTATTTCAATAACCCAGCTAGGCATTGTCATTTTCTGCATACATATAACATAAGACTGTGCTTCACAACTGCTGTTCATCAATTCGTCTGGAATGTTTTTCTGTTGTTGTGCTGAACCAATCTGTCTGGCTAAGAAACTAATTTCTTATAATCAAACTACTGGCATCAAACTGATCAGGGGACAGATTTCACTAGCTTAGTTCTTTATAAAACGATCTCTCCTGTTTTCACAGAGTCAATCAGACAGTTCACAAAACATGTAGTGTCACAAAATGCAGTCCTTACAGAATACATAATCCTCACAAAATATATACTGTCAGAATGCATCTGATTTTTCAGCCATATCTGCAGCTGAAGTCAGATAGAGTAAATAAGTGTCGTCTTCAGCAATATTACTTGTTGGGGCCCCCGAATCTCTTCAATCTTGCAAATGTCCACAAATCCATAGACTTTTTCAATTTTTAATGTCTTCATTTGATTTTCCCATGCAACTGCTGTTAGCTATCCTTGCTGCATTAGTCACTAGTAACAATCAATAAGTTATGTATGTTTTTATATCTTATGTTTAGTAAGGGACTTTAAAGAACTTTGAAAACATATATGTTTTCTGCAAAGGAGGTATATGGAATATTTGGACCCTCCTGGAAGCAGTATACCCATGAGGTTAGTCCTGCCATTCATAACTCCTTCAAACATTAGCTAGGACCTTGTGGGACCGGAAAAGCTAATCAACACTGAACTGGCAATTAGTTGCTGTAAAAGGATTTATTCTGGATAAATAAACAGACTTTTACAGACCTGTTCAGAGTATAATAATATAATTTTAACTAAGCTGTTTTCTAACCGTAAAAACTGTTTTTGCTGTCTGTAGTTACGATCTTTAGAGCAGTGTAGAACATGAGGGTCGTGAATCCGAGGATGTGTGGGCACTTAGCTAGTGCAGTTACAATAAACTTTCAAGGTTCCGATTTTTATTTTTTGCCCCCACAGTAAAAATCTCCTTCCCTTACTGAGGATCTAACTTGGGTCTCCTGCATGAAATCATGTACTCTAACCGCCAGGTCAGCCAATCCTCCATTTCTAATCGTAAGTTAAGATATGTAAGAGGGGCCGACAGGAATATAAAATAACAGGCTAACATTTGAAGACATCTCACCATTTTCTTCAGGCTCCTACTGCATCGTGAGCAGTACCAGACAAACCTGGGGTCACTGACATCTTCCTCGGTTACTGGAGGCTTGTGACATTCCTGGGAATACAGAAAACATTATATACATATTGTCTTCACTAGCAAGCAATCTTTTTCAGTATCTAACAAATGTTATCTGAACTTGTTTTATCTGGAAAACTTTACCTCACAAATAGTGAGCCAGAAAAAAAGCAAGTTTCACAATAGTTTTCTCAATGCCCCGTCTTTGAGATTCAGATAGCTAGCATAACTTGGAGGATGGCAGAGTCCTAAAAGACTCCTCAATGGTGAACTACAGATAATCAAAGCAATCTTTCCTCATTTGAATTTCAACAAAGACACAAACAATAGATTGCACAATTTATTGCTTTTCATATTTTTGCTGTATCTCGTCAGGTTCATACTACAGAAACAAATTATTAAAATGAAGCAAATAAATTAATCCTTTGAACTGGAACTGAAAAATCAACTACATTCAAAAACTGTCTGTTTCCCCAGGGTAAACGCAAGGTTAAGACCATGTCCTTTTGTTTGCATAATTCTGAACTAAAGCAGTTCATAGTAGTCACTTCCACAAATCTCAATAATCTCCGGTTGGCTAAAGTGTAAATAATTTGAAATGCATCTTCCTTGTTTTCAGTGTGCCCAGAATTCAAAATTTGGCACACAATGGCTGATAGTGATTTTTTTTTCCAGTAATCTGATTTGTTGTTGAGTTGTTGAGTTTTGCATTGCTTTGACCACCTATAGTGGAATATGTTCAGCAACCAGTTTCTCCAGTCGTAGATTAGTTCTGCCTATATGCAGCATTACAGATGCATTTAAATTGATAAGTACAATTAGATTTGTCGTACGTCGACACTGGTTCTTTCAATGGTGGTGTAGGAATTACGGTAATTTTAAATCTGATAACAGATATGGCTCCATAAAAAGTTTCACTGCTGTTTTGAGCTGGTCACATAAGCGTTGTATAACGTCATATCCCCAAAAGTTTGACAGGCATGAAAATTTTTTTTTGGTACCGACATTTCTATGGATCTGGTTTTTTGGAACTGGTAATTGCGCTTAATAAAACCATCAGGATATCCACTATAAAGCAGTGTTTGTTCAAGCGTTTTAAATTCTGCCTGTAGCATGTCGCTGGAACAAATCTTTATCGCATAATTGAAATATGTCCGCACTAGGCCACGTTTGTGGTGCAAAACTGTTAAATTGGATGTACTGAAACTGGGTGTACCGGCCTGTCCAAGTGTTTTTAAGATAAACTGACCTTTCAATAGTAAACCCATCTGCAGTTTTTTATTTTCTATTTGGCACTTTTGCAAGGTCAGTTTGTGTTGGTTGGGCACCTTTATTCCAATAGGAGGAATAAACAAATCAAGAATTGACACCCACAAGTGCTCAACTAAAAGTAGCCAACCAAGAGTCTTCAAACTGACAGTGCCAATTGCAACCTGATGAAAACTCTGCCTGTCTTTTCCACTGCGTGATTAAAACAGTCCAGATCTTCTGCTCACTCTCCACTGAATCAGTCTCTCAAGGAATGGATATTGTACCTTTATCTTTGCACTGCCTATTTGATCCCAGAGCCTCCACTATGTCAGCTTTACCATAAAGTAGCTCACTCTCCAGAGGGACTGCGTCTAATCTTTCATTCTGCAATTACCCTACATACCCAAGTGTCCTGGCAAAACATAGGTATGCTCCTGATCCTAACTGTATCAGGCTATGCAAGCCAGTCTAAGTATAGGACAACAGTTTCTAAATTCCGAAGCTTGGTCTGCGAGTCCATCACAATTACAACATGTCAGGCTGTACATGTAATAAATGGAAAAAATAAGAGCAGTAGAAAAAGAAGAGGAAGACACAAAACATTTACCTGATGGTAGAGACTGTGGCACTCCTGGCATTCCACTAACTGGTTACCTGAGCTCACATCAAACTGCCTGGAATAAATCATTATAACAAGTGTCCAGACATTAAAGGATGATGAAAACAGGGATGACTGCAGTCAAGTTAATACCAAGACATTAATCCACTGAACTGTGGCTAAGAAGCTCAATTTTTATTTTAAGACCTGGGGGAAACTGTTGTAGTTTTTGTTCACAAAGGCTCCTTCTGGTTGTGGTTTTTGTTGGCAAAGCCTCCTGCCGAAACAATAAATTTTTCATGTGTGTTTTCCCCTTCCCCTCTTTGATAAGCTTCTTGGTCACAGTTCAGTGGATTAATTTCTTGAAAGGAACCTATTATTTCATGCATCATTAGGTAAAACATGAGTATACAAGCACTGACTGCTTACATTTATATAGAGCAAATAAACGCATTTGTGGTGCCACATGTATGGTGTCCTAGGTGAAAACAAATCAGGGTGAAGAGTCCCTTTACAAAGCATAAAGAATATTAGATATATGGTGCTAGTTGGTTATTTTTAGACCACTTGGTGCTCAATAGATGATGTGGTCAATATCACGCCAACCACTTTTACTTCCTTCAATGCCTCTTTGTGTCCATTTCTCGGCTGTGTCAACGTAAAAGGTCAATGAAAGAGGTTGTATCCTCTTCCCCAGGAAATGCCAGTGCGTTGGAACATGAACAAGCAGAGATAAATTCAGGATGGCACAAGAAAACTGATCTGTGATTCTGGTGACCTTCTGAAAAGGTGAACTAGACTGCCTACACTTCCCAGCAAGGCATTTGATGATGATAATATCAGCTCACTCTTTCTTGTGCTACCAAATGGTATGAAGCACCAAGAGAAATAGCTAAACAGTTTTAACATGCGATGTCTCAGAAGAATTCTTGACACAAAGTGGCGGTACAAGATCACAAACACTGAGGTATTGGAAAGAGCAGGTATTACAACAGTCTTCTCAATGCTCACTCTACGAAGGGCTAAGGTGGCTGGGTCACACCTGGAGAATGGAGGATGGCAGAGTCGCTAAAAAAAATCCTTTATGGAGAATTAAAGAGGGGTAGAAGATGTCAAGGCTGACTTCTACTACGATACAAAGATGTGTACAAGTGGGGCATGAATGACACAGGTACTCATGGCAACAAAATGTTATGGACCATGTTGTGTGGAGGCGGCGTGTGTGGCTTAGGCGTTGCGCGTCAGACTCGTTATTCCAACGTACCGCGATCGAAACCCAATGCTGGCTGTGTGGATTTTTATCGTTGTATGGGACGTCGCAGATCGACCCAGCCTAAAATGGGTACCAGGATGGCTGTCCTGGGGAAGTAGAGACGACCGGCGTAATGCTGACCACATTACCCACCTAGAGCTGATGGTCTGAAAAAATATGGGCGCTCTTCCCATATACTCGATGTGCCTAAAGGCGTGAAAAGGGATCTTTACTTTTTTTTCATGTTGTATGGAGGAGGCACTTTAGGAAGGGAATGAGAATAAAGGAAGAAATGACTGGAAAAATATGAGATCCGAGCATCTGAGAAGAAACAGACTAAACACAAATGTTTACAACAATGGTGCCAAAATCCCATGCTATAACTGTGGAAGACTTTTCTTAACGCAGGTGGGTCTTGCTAATCACACTCATTATCGCTAAGGGCAGTGAGTCCCATGCTTCCCCATAGAGCAATGTAACATTATCATCTGGAAAGGTGCCAGTCAATCTTTCTGTGAGTTGATTTCTTTCAATACACCTGTATTAATCTTCTTTGTCTACCCCTAGTGCTAAAATTTGTCTTTAAAATCCCATCTCTGCAGTTTCCACATCATTTGAAATTATTACTTTTATGTTTATCTTCTTCTTCTTCAGCGTTTGTCCAAGAGATGTCATTGTACTATGTCTACAGCATATCAGCAACTTTTGGCCACATTCAACTTCATCTGGTATTTGTTCACCAGGAAAGCCTTCCAGGTTAGTTTCGCGGGACATAGTGATTACTGTTATCTACAAGCATGAAATAGTTACTTACTTGCATACAACACAAGCAATGCCCATCTCAAGAGCAAAGTCACCAGCATCCATTCGTGCTGTTTCCTCTTCATCACTAATCAACAATGGTGCCTCTGGCTCAATTTTGCTGACAATCAATTCCTTTTCTTTTCTCTCCTTTTCTAATTTTTCCTTCAATTTTACTGCATCCCGTTCTTCTTTCTCTTTTTTCTCCTTCTCCCTTTTTGCCCGTTCTTTTTCCTTCTCCTTTTCCCTCACGTCTCTTTCATCTTTGCTTTTTGACTTAGAATCCAGTTTGGATTTCTTGACATCAGGTTCTGAACTATCTTTGAGAACCTGTAAAAACAAATGAACAACTGAAATGCTGAGAAGAAAAAACATAAAATCTAACAACTCAAAGATCACAAAGCAAAACCTGATACTGTCCAAATAACTGAAAAATTATATCACAGCTGAAAAATTATATTACAGCATTACTTCTTCAAAATACTGTCCAAGATATATTGTTCTGCACATGCAGAAGTGTGAGATAATGAAAGCAGATTTTTTGGCTACAAAAGCAACAGTGGTAGGAAAACCTATAAAAGACAAGGCAGACATTCTGAAGACAATTTATGAACGAATGCTAATGGAAGATAGGTTATTAGTTGAAACAACATGTGTACAGTTGCATGAACTTTGAATTAAGTGTGGATCCAACAAGAAGGAACTTATATGAGCAACAGTACAATGTGTGTACAACCAGTATGTTACTGACACAGTCAGCATCTAAACCTTAAGACATTTGCTGCAGGAGGCGGACCATCTACAGAATATGCCAGGTATGTCTTGCTGCTGATTCTTAAATAAAAAATCTTCTCTTTTCTTCTTGTCAGAAAGATTGTGGTAAAATACTATGCAGAAACTATTCTGCTGCACGGCAGTGAATCTTTAAATGAAAAATGAACAACACAGAAAAATCTTGGAAACATTGGGGTAGCACAGGAACTAGACCAGAGGTTTCTCACCAGTGCTTCCTGGAGACCTAATGGCTCCATATGCACCTCCCAGGAAAATAAAAAGTAGAATCAGAATAAGGAAACTATAAATTACATTCTGAATGGACAATTTCCTTTTTATTATTCTCCAACAGCTCAAGATAAGGCGCTTGATGAGTTAAACGTTTCCTGAATGTGTCCAGTGTGCCCCCTCCACCCCCCCCCACCCCTCCCCAAACAAAATTAACTAGCTTAAACTCAGAAGAATTCAAGGCGTTTTGTCTGCGTTTACAAGATGAATTCAAAATCTGTTCTGCAAGAGCACTAAACATATGTTTGAAGCTGGATTCACCGCTTATACTTATACCAAGATAGAATACAGAAGCTGCTTAAATGCAGAACTGAACAATTGCCTGCAATTATCATAAACTGATTCTGAAATGAGAAAACTCAAACAAATGCAACCACAAATGTCTCAATACATTATTTGATGGATCTTATTGTTGCTCTAACTAACACTGTAAAATCTGTTGTAATGTAAATGGTCCGACTTAGTAAACTTTGGAAGAACTTTTAGGTACGGTCAAGTTTTAACAATATCATGTGTATTGGTGGTAGTTGAAAATATAGTGACTATTTTGGTAAATTTCAAAAGTTTTTCAAATATTATTAAACTGCATGGACGTTGCACAATTGTTTAGATATCTCTGTACTTTGTATTCCCTGACTATCTACCCCCTCTTCCTCAGCACTGTAACATTACTTCTAAACACCATTAACCTGTAAGACATAGAATACAGACGGATCCGTTATACGCCAAAGAAGAAGCGCATGGGCATTTACAGCACGCTCAGCGGGCAGAACAGTCAAAGAAGCCAACGGTGCCTTCTCCATGACAACCAGCAGCATCACGATGGAGGTGATGGCAGTGACGCAAGCGTTTGCCTGGCTTGAAACACAAAAATACACCCGCATATGTATACTCAGTGATTCAATGAGTATGATCCGGAGGGTTCAGGCAGGTTCAGTGCGAAGACAATGGCTTGAATCATTACAGAAGTCCACTGTGCGTGGAGTCACCTTTATTTTTGTTCCGGGACACGCAGGCGTCGATGGAAATGAAAGAGCTGACAGGTTGGCTGGATCTGCTATCACTACCGACGGTCGGCCTATGGATCATGCTGATATTATCAATGCCCTCAGAGAAATGGGAAGGATAGAGGACTTTGGTGGCAGTGAATCCACATTACTCGCCAGAATGGCAGACTTGGGAATTAAGATCGGCACAGCAAAAAACGAGACGCACACCGGACACGTCAGAAGACTTGTTAATCAACATAGAACTGGTACTATTAGCCATCGGACGTTGGGGTTCATACTGAGGGGAGGATCTGAGCACCTATGGACATGTCCGGAGTGCAATGACGATAACCCAACTAACCAACTAACTAACTAACTAACATAGGCTACTTCAGACTTAAGGGACTCAGCCACATAAATTAATTCTGAAAAAGGGGCTCTGCAAGTCCAAAATGTTGGCAAACACCGGCTTATTTGCCAGACCTAATAGGTAAACAGTTTGATGGAGCTGTGCTGTGTGAGTTCTCAAATATTTTCAATGCTATACATTCGACAGTTTTCTTCTTATACTAAAACATTCTCAGTGCTGTACATCTCATACTGTCTTCTTATAATGCTATTCATTTATCTTCAGTGTTATTACAAAAATGTCTCGTTCTGGTCTGACTCTGTTTCTGGCTCACCATCAAATATTTTTGTGCATGTCAGTTAAAGCTATGAGGTGCTCTCCAGTGTGAAAGACAAGGTAAAGACAGCTAAAGCAATGAGAATGCTGGATAAAGGCAGTGTCTTTTCATGGTGAAAATACTTGAGCTTGATAATTTAGGACCGCACGGCTAGTACAACGACTGCGCAGGTTAGGACTTTAGTTTAGAAAAATATCCAACCTATCAAGGATTCAAACTCGGGTCTCCAGAAAGAGAATGCAGTGTTGTAGTCAAAGCAAAAAAAAAAACATTTGTACCCTTTCTGCCAATCTCTTTTCTGCTTCTTTTCTCTTCAAATCCTCATCACTCTTGGATCGGCCTGGGCTTGATTTCCCCAAATCTCCACTGTGACCTGGAGCCTGACAAAAGATATACATGTAAACCTGTAAATATAATAAGCTGAATACTTGAATATGATAGAAGGATCTTCATGAAAGAAGGTTTCTTGTTCCGGTCAAAATGGACGCTAGGCAGCGGCACTGTTCGAAGCAGAGGCAAATTTTTTCTTCTGCCAGACGGTGGCCGATGCATTTTTGCTCCATTTGTAGACTGGATATAGTTTCGTCGCCCAGCTTCTGAGCTGAATGCATGGCATGACACTGTGAGCTGCGGATTGCATTTGGAATGTTTTTTCGACTGTGACCAACGTGGTGGTGTGAATTGTAGATTCAGAAAATGGCACGATGCCTGTTGTGTAATGTTGGCGGTGCCCATATGTGATTAAAATTGATCGCGTGGGCAACTGCTGATTTGTAAGCGACAAATTCTGCTATCATCAATGATGAACTGCATTTCTAATGTTGGACTGTTTGTGTTAGCACTTCGGATGGCTACCGTATGCTTTAATGCGAGTGTATGCTAGATTTGCTGAGACAGCAGTCTGTCAATCTTTCCACAAGGGACTGTGATAAACATTCTGTGTGTTTTTCGTTGGCACAGGAGCAAAGTTGGGGTGACCTGTTTGCTATGAAGCTAAAACTAAGACTACCAGACCAGGTTTCTTGTGTCTTGCCTTTACAACTGTCATAGGCAAACATGCCTTTGCTTCTGATTATATTGACCAGGAAGTGAATTCAGCACACAACAATCATATTCTGTATTGTTTGGCAAGACTCGTGAGATGATGATGATGATTCTGCATCAAAATTGGCAATGATAACTTCATCATGTGCAGGCACAGACACAATATTTTCCAAATCTACAGGCTCTGAATAAATATTTTCACTAGAACTATCGGTATCGGAAACTGTTGCACTAGTGTTTGCTACGGAAGGTGTAACTGCCGGTCGAGTGGTATCGGAAACTGTTGCACTAGTGTTTGCTACAGAAGGTGTAACTGCCGGTCGAGTGGTATCGGAAACTGTTGCACTAGTGTTTGCTACGGAAGGTGTAAATGCCGGTCGAGCCTTAGTCAGACTTGACATTGAAGAGACATGCCAATGTTTCATCAATGATGTTTTTCTTGGCACTTTGACAGATTTATCAAAGCCTGAGTCATCAAAACTCAATAATTTATCAAAGCCAGAGTCATCAAAACTCAATATCTTCACCTTCGTCTTTTTAAAGAAAATCAAATCAAGAAAATCAGCGCAGCAATAGAAAAGTGATAAAAATGACCACCAAAATCAGTTCAAGAATTTGATGCCATGACGAAACGATTGTCAATGTGTCACCAACATGGGAGCTAACAATGAAAACTCTGCAAATTCATTAAATATTTAGTATAAGCGCTATAAAGTTGTTTTTCTTAATTAATACAGAGAAATTAATGGACTAAAGGCCTCAACCAATTTCATCACAAAAATGACGATTTTCACATGATGGCGAGCGTCCAAAGCTAACATCACAAAGAGTGAGACGTTGGCAGCAAGAAATAAACGTCGCCTCATCGCATAACGTGCCACGTGAGCAGTCAGTGGGTTAAACACAGAGGAAAAAAAGCATTAAAAATATCAGAAACACAGCAGACTTAACTTGCCTTAAGACCTTTGCGCTGAGCAATTGCATCATCCAGCAATGCCTTTAATTGTGCCCCACTATCTTTGGCCTTTGAATGCAGAAACTTTAGAGCTTTTACAAACACTGGGTCCAAATCCACAGCCGTCATGATTTTTTTCTTGTCCACTCTTTAAAAGAATAATTACCTGAGATGAAGAAAGAAACAAAAATGTTTACAGATTGCAATACACTGCAAGACATTTGTTCGAGGCTGGTGTGGTTTTAATGCGAGTTTGATGTGGGTGCTGCCAATCTATGGCATAGCGGCCTTAACAACAACATTGACGACCTCTGCCGCCAGTCGCATTTGAAATTGTCGGTCAAGGATTCTCGCTTGTGCAACAGAGTACGTGCGTTTGAGCTGAGATTCTCTACACTTGCTCCACAGAAATGTAATAATGAAGTACACATTAATAGGAATTTAAGCCCAGAAAACATCCATCACGCCGCAAAAATATTCAGAAAGTACCAACACAGAACAGGCATCATCAGTCGTTTTACACTTGTGGACCTTTTGAGAAGTAGATCGGATAACCTATGGATCTGTCCGGAGTGCTATGACGATAATCCTTTCTAATCTACTTAACTCGTTGAGTCCCAATGAACGCATCAAACATTCACATTTTCCTACCTAGTAGCCCAATAAACGCACGATCTGTCAATTTTATGACTCTCTTTACTATCCCTTGGGCCTGTGATGCTAAACCCCCTGGAACTCAAAGAGTTAACAAAGAGTTTTACAGTTGAGTAGATCAACTCCATTTCACAAGGTTTTGTTCCATAAGACTCAGTCTCAAGAGGTCTAAGTACAAACTGCACTCATGAAATTAATGATCCAGTCTGTTCCAGATAACAGTTTTTCACTGTGCTTATGAGGAGCATGGGAATCACAAATGTGACTCCCTTTGTGGGTTCCGGGGCCCTACTGTGGGGAAAGACAAGAATAAACCCACTACCTCCCCAACAAGCATGTTGTAAGAGTGGATAAATTGGGGATATCCTTCAAAGTCGGAGTGCATCTGGCTGAGAGGCAAGGAACTAACAATCTGCATAAAACTATGTCAGATCTGTAAAACGGATGTGCATGCAACACTCAGGTTCTGGAACAAGTTTAAAGTCCAGAGATCAGTGAACAACCAGAACTTTCTGCCGTAGGATACAGCCAGTGAACATGAAGAAGAAGAAGAAAAGTGTGACCAGCAAGACCAGTTCAGGTTGAGAACCTTCCACAAAAAGTGCATGAGATTTCAGGACCATCAATTGTATCATATTCCTAGACCAACCAAGGACTGAATGAACTTCCTTCCTTCCATAGCTCACAGTCTGGTCAGTACCATAGAGAGGATGTGTTGCCTATGTTGCAAGATTTTGAAATAAAGATGTAACTGGCTAATGTTTCAATGATTTTCATGCCTCACCGCAGATACTGTGTTCCATTACCAGTCTTGCGCTCACCGCAGATACTGTGTTTCATTACCAGTCTTGCACTCACTGCAGATACTGTGTTCCATTACCAGTCTTGCACTCACCGCAGATACTGTGTTTCATTACAAGTCTTGCGCTCACCGCAGATAGTGTGTTCCATTACCAGTCTCGCGCTCACAGCAGATACTGTGTTCCATTAGCAGCCTTGCGCTCACCGCAGATACTGTGTTTCATTACAAGTCTTGCGCTCACCGCAGATAGTGTGTTCCATTACCAGTCTTGCACTCATCTCAGATACTGTGCTCCATTACCAGTCTTGCACTCACAGCAGATACTGTGTTCCATTACCAGTCTTGCGCTCACAGCAGATACTGTGTTCCATTACCAGTCTTGCACTCACCGCAGATAGTGTGTTCCATTACCAGTCTTGCACTCACAGCAGATACTGTGTTCCATTACCAGTCTTGCACTCACCGCAGATAGTGTGTTCCATTACCAGTCTTGCACTCACCTCAGATACTGTGTTCCATTACCAGTCTTGCACTCACAGCAGATACTGTGTTCCATTACCAGTCTTGCGCTCACCGCAGATACTGTGTTCCATTACCAGTCTTGCACTCACCGCAGATACTGTGTTCCATTACCAGTCTTGCGCTAACCGCAGATACTGTGTTCCATTACCAGTCTTGCACTCACCGCAGATACTGTGTTCCATTACCAGTCTTGCGCTCACCGCAGATACTGTGTTCCATTACCAGTCTTGCGCTAACCGCAGATACTGTGTTCCATTACCAGTCTTGCACTCACCTCAGATACTGTGTTCCATTACCAGTCTTGCGCTAACCGCAGATACTGTGTTCCATTACCAGTCTTGCACTCACCGCAGATACTGTGTTCCATTACCAGTCTTGCACTCACTGCAGATACTGTGTTCCATTACCAGTCTTGCGCTAACCGCAGATACTGTGTTCCATTACAAGTCTTGCACTCACCGCAGATACTGTGTTCCATTACCAGTCTTGCACTCACCGCAGATACTGTGTTCCATTACCAGCCTTACGCTCACAGCAGATACTGTGTTTCATTACAAGTCTTGCGCTAACCGCAGATAGTGTGTTCCATTACGATGCCTTTCCTGGGACTCAAAGAGTTAAGCACTAGGTCAGAAGGAAAGTTTGTAAATAAACTTCACTCTGATTTGTAAGCAGCTTAGTATTCTATGATTCTCAACCATACACACACACACAAACTATGATCCCTATAAGTTTTTCTAACATCCCAATAAAACCTCTGTCATGGTGGAATACTGTGCTAGAATTGAGAAACTTCAATGTCTTTCTAAAAGTGAAAGGATTTATAAACGCAGTCACCTACTGTAAAGATCAGAGATGACAGACGCTGGTGAAATCTGCAGCAACTAATCTTAAGGGTTCGGAATGCTGAAGAAGAGGAAGGTGAGTAGAAGGATCTCTATATTAACCACAGTTTTTTTTATTTCTAAACACCTAATTTTGTGTAGTAACTAAAAACTTGATAAGTCACTATTTTTTTAACGTTTTATCTGTTCTTTGTTGCACAAGTCTGAGTTCACTTTCCAGTCAATGTCAGTATTTCCTGCATATTTTGTTTATCATACAGTATGCCAAATAGCAGAACACAAATACAATATTGTTTCCTCCTTGATGTAAAAATAAAAAAACCATCATCTCTGTGTACTGCAAATTTTCAGCTTTCATGCACTGCTTTTACAATTATTAATACTATATAATATATATATATATATATATATATATATATATATATATTATATATATATATATATATATATATACACACACACACACATATATACACACACACACACATATATATATATATATATATATATATATATATATATATATATATATATATATATATATATATATATATATATATATATATATATATATATATATAGGCCATACGAATAACGGTCCTAAATTAGCGAGGCAAAAAAAAAAATACCCTAACAGGGCCTCAATCATATGTAAATTGCGGACTTCTTTCCGGCAAATATACCGCATGAAACACTCCTCCAAATGGCAAATCATCGAGGCTCTGACACTAAGTGCTGCTTCGTTTAACTTCTCCCCAGTGATCCTAGATTTAACTTCTCCCCTGGGTCCTAGGTGTAACTTCTCCCCTGGATCCTAGGTTTAGAGTTGGGAAAGGAGTATTGCAATTACGACACCGCCAACAGAATCTGTCACAACAGTAGCGTAGCCAAACTGGCTCTCCTTTGAATCACAAGGGCTGCCAATAAGATTTTTTTGAAAAACCCAGCTTCGCTAAACAAAAACCCAAGCAACACATAAAAAATTAAAATGTTAAAATGTACAAAAATTTATAGTTACGAAACGAAACATTTACCACTTTTATATATTGCGTAGGATATATTTTTATAAAAACACAGATTTGAACAAAGAAGACACAAACAATAGACTGCACAATTTATTGCCTGGCATATTTCGCTGTATCTCATCAGGTGCATACTTCAGTAACAATTAATTAAAATGAAGCAAATAGCTGAATCCTAGAAACTGAAACACAAATTCGAGTAGATTTCAAACTGTTTCACCAAGGTAAACGTAGGGCAACGACCATTTCCTTTTGCGTAGGCGAAATATGCCAGGCAATAAATTGTGCAGTCTATTGTTTGTGTCTTCTTTGTTCAAATTTACAACGGGGAAACATTGCAGCAATGCTTTGATTATTTGAAACGTCGCCTCCCACAATCAACTGTGAAGCGACTGGATGGATTATTTAAACTGAAATGCAAAATCGCAGTACAGGATTGTCGGTTACGGTTTCTTGGAGAATGCCTTACATCTGGAATATTTCCTCACCGTTATCTTAGATCGCTGAGAGCTGAGAAAATCTGCCCAACGGTACGAAATTTGAGGCGAATGACGAAAAATTACATAGAAGAAATCCAATCGAAATTGATCAATCTAAGGCGAATTCACAGTTCGGCTTACAGTATTACTAACGATCTGACTTTGTATTGTTATTTAAAGTTCACAAAGTTTTGTATTGAAACATTGGGTAAAGTGAAAATTCAAGAAACTACACGTTTAAAGAAGTCATTGAGTTCGGAAAAGATTACCACTTCTGTGCTTGACAATGCTGAGAAACATGTGATTAATCTGTCTTCGTTTACACTCAGTAAACTACAAACTGAAGCTCTTGCTTACGGATTAAAGTTCTGCGTAAAACCTAAACAAATCAACCCCATCGAGTCACAAGCTCAATTTGAAATGTTCTTTGATCAGCTGTCGACATTGACCCCGTCGTCTACCGATTCGGTTGGTTGGTTAAAAGCTAGATTGGTGGATTTGGAACATCAGTACCGCACATCCCAGTCTAAGCAAAAGTGTCCATTATCTAAAGAGCATATTATTGCTCTGAAAACATTAAAAGTTAACGAACAATTAATAATACTGAAACCAGACAAAGGAAATGGTGTAGTTCTGATGGACAAGTCAAACTATCAAACCAAAATGGAAGAAATATTATCTGATCAATCAAAATTTCTGCTGGATTCCAAAGTAAATTACGTTAATAACATGGAAGCGAAAATGAAGAAAGTAATCAAATCACTCTTGGCAGGAAAATTCATCAGCGAAGCTACCGCTAAGATGC